AGAAGGGAATGACAGGGGACATTGGGTAGGTGGAGAGGCAGCATCGATCTGGAAGCAATTTTGGCCGGCGGTGAAAATTTTGACTGTCCGTGACTCTGGTTCTGCTCGCTCTCCTCTCCGCTGCCGCTTCCCCAAATTGACCAAGGGGAGAAGGGTAGTCGGCGCCCGGCGGTGGGGCAAATATTTTTTTGTTTGTTTTCTTTTGACAGATTTGGGTCGGTTATATACAGTCGGTTGAACCGACTTAGATAATGAATATAATATAAAAATTGGATTTTTTCAATAAATAATTAGAGTCGGTTAGAACCGACACAAAATAAATTTAAGTCGGTTACTCCGGCGGTTGCTCAAAACCGACACGAATTTTATTAGTGTCGACGGGTTTCGCGTTGGTTAAGTGAACCGACACTAAAACAATTTGTGTCGGTTGTAATTGACACAAAACATAAGAAGTAACCTACACTAAATGGCAGTTTTCTTGTAGTGACTTTATCAATTATGATTAATTGCATAACAAGTTTGCAAGTCATACAAATTGATTTAACATTTTGACTAGTTTTTTTCTAAAAAAAATTAAGTATATATATATATGAGGTAGAAATAAATTGGTTAAGAAGTTGAGAAAATATTTTAAATTAGTGTAATAAAATGTGTAAGTTTGAATGTGAGTGAACCCAGCCCGAACCCGCTCGATTGACACCTATAGCCACAAGCGTCAAAGTGGAAGTTTGAATGTGAGTGAGGATGTAGCCGGCGCCGAAAATTGGAGGGTGGCGACAGGCATCAACGTGGAAAGAAATAACTAAACTAGAAAGTAAGTTGAAAATTAACTTAAAGAAAAATCTATGGAAGAAGCTACGGGGAAAGACTCTTGAAATTCACTATCTAATTACTTGACTCAACCTCATTCAAATTACAACGGTTGTCTCTGAGTTGATAGCTATCTCTCTCAATGCTCGCTACGTACTAAGTAGCCAATTAATTGCTTACTCTTTTACAACCAACTAATTAACTACCTAGTTCGAAGTTCGATAACTCCTATATTTACATATTTTAATAATATTAAGGCAATAAAAATCTTATAATGTAATAAGGCGTGTCGATTACAATTATTGAAGGTATGTAGGAGGTCCCGTGTTTGAATTTTTTATACCGAAAATATATGGGTTGCTCACAAAAATTTCGGACCAAAGTGTGTCGGGTGATACACCTCTCATATATATATATATATATATATATATATATATATCTAATAGGAGAACACGATGCATATGTTACAGGATACGGATACCCATGAATCTAACGTGATGTTGTATAATTTTGAACATGGCGTATTTGTTTGTTATGTCATTGTAAAAAAAAAAAAAAAATTGGGCCCCCTAACCTAAAAGCCTAGCTCCGTCCCTGCTCAATTGGTGCTTCCAGCCCAACTTGCTAAGACTAACTCCAACCCCAAAAGCTATATTTAGCCTCCCAAGCTCTCAAATGTGCATATTTGCCTCCCCAAAACACCTTTTTGCTCCAACCCTAAAAGCTTCCAAATTTAGCTTCCCACATCTTTTTTTGATTTAATTTCCATAATCCATACTTATTTACAATATCATTCTTGTAATTCACTTTAATTTTTTTATAGTTTGTTATTACTTGTGAAAACAAAATTTTCGATGTAATTTTTTTTTAATTCCGAGATAATTTTTTTTTTTTGCAAAATTAGTCATTTTTTATGGCCGTTAAAATGTGTCAGTTGCAATGTGACCGTTTTATTGTCACTATATTACTTCTTTCAAACTAAAACGCAAACACACCCACACAAACTAAAACGCAAACATACCCACACAAACTAAAACGCAAACACACCCACACAAACTAAAACGCAAACATACCCACACAAACTAAAACGCAAACACACCCACACAAACTAAAACGCAAACAAAAAATGAAAAAAAAAATAAAGCAGCAGCAGGGGACCCCGCGTGCAGGCGAGGGCCACCCGCGGAGGCGCGCCTGGGCCGCACGCACGCGGGAGGAAGGGCTTCCTCCCGCGCGCGTGCGGCCCAGGCGCGCCTCCGCGGGTGGCCCTCGCCTGCACGCGGGGTCCCCCTTCCAGCTGCTATTTTTGCCCCTTTGCTCCATGGAGGCTTCTATCTATCCACCCCAACACTCCATTCTCCAAATTTGGAAGCAAAATTGAAGGTGGGTTGGAGATGAAATAATGCAAAATGTTCACTTTCTCCAAATTTGCAAGCAAGGGTTGGAGTTAGTCTAACGGTTTTGCATCGTTCATTTTATTCCTTCTCGTGTCAACTTCCTACTCACATGTTTGGCAACAGTTGATCCTCGTGAAGGTAACCCCAAATAAATACTTCATTAGCATCCATCGGCCGGGAACCAAATCCTCCCCTAGCTATTTGTCTCTTATCAATCCACCCTAAGTCTATTAAATGAAATTACCAATCCCACTTGGTCGGTTACTTTAACTGCCTCTCTATGTATATCCCTTGTGTCCTAGTCCAATTGAATTCATTCATGGGTTTCAATTATTTCTAGACCACAAATGGCCCAGAAGCTTATCTCACATACCAAGCCATGCACGTATAGTTATACACACACGTATATGTTCTTGTTTTAACCCATTAATCAAACTGCATCCATCCATATGTTTGGTAAATAGCTTGCCACAATCCCCAGTGACCTATCCATTTTACCGTTAAAGTCAACTAGGGATTTGCTTGTCCCCAAGCAAACCAAGTCAGACACAAGGTAAGCTTACAAATTTCCATCAACCAACATTGGGGACAAGTCATAAAGGCACAGAACACGTGAATCGTGCGGGTTTTCAAACATCAATACATGAACAACCTCAATAGCAACCTGGACAACCACCACAAAGGACATTCGAGTGCAGCAAAATCGAGTAAAGGAAGAGTCTCCCTTCTGTTCACCAGCCAACCTAGACTTGACTCAACCACTTACTCAAGACAGTCAACTCATGCATCCAACTCAAAACATCAGAGTAGAGACCGAGCAATCTAGGTCCACACCGGGGTACAAGAGTATATAGAATATGAAAATGAATCACTCACTCTCGACCAGTGGGGTCAGGACAATTTGATGCGAAAAATGCGCATGCTATTTCTCTCAATCCCTAACATCTCTTCACCATGATGGCAGCCTCTAAATTCTAGAGTTCACATATGGGGTGTCACCACTAACTAATCAGGAGGTCTTAGACACAGGTTCAAATGACTGGCTAGGGTCTTGGACATGGGGAAGAGGCCTTTTAAGTGGTGGAAGTATTCATAGCACAAGGTTCCACATTTCCAAACCCACACAATCACAGTCAAACAAACCGGTATTTCCTTTCTGCTAAGAAACACAAGCACAAAAGCGAAGGAGGTATAAATGTCAGCATTTCCAAGCCAGACTGCTAAGAAACACTACTTACTGGGCATTATTCAGATTTTTGGTAGTGGCTCTCTTTTGCTTTCAATTTTTTTCTTTGTTTTTCTTTCATTTTCTTTTCATTTCTGGTGAGAGCCACCACTTCTGCACATATTCAAACACATGCCCAACTTTTAAGCACTACCTCCAACACTCACATCACAAATTTAGCAGAAACAGCAGAGAACATGTAAAAACCACTCTGTGGAACCTTCTAAAAGATGCAAAAGGGTAATTTTTCATTATAGACCAAAAAGAAAGGATAACACACGGCTCAAAGGGGCTGACTAGAGGATATGACACATCAGGACAGTCAATTTGGGCGTGGGCTAATCCTATGCCCCCATCATCTTAGCTAGTGACAACGTGAATGCTACACATCATGGAAGAGGGATCTATCACACAAGAAAGAAACGAGCAGGCTCAAATCTCACATAGCTACCTATATGCTCTATCTCACATTCTGATACCCTGAACTAGATGCATAAACGACTGTCAAGAACAAGTGATCAAATCAAGTCACAGTTGGTAAGCAAACAGTTGAAAGAACTGAACCCCTGCACAATTCTGCTGCATGTCTCAGTCCTCATCATAGGTTATCCTAGTCACAATCAAACTGTCATGCATCAATCCGAAAACCATTCAATTCATCAATCAAAACACAGTGCCAATATGATCAAACAGCAGTACTTGGAGCCCTCAAATCGTACGATTCGGACAACGGACTAGGCTCCAAGCACACAGATATATATTCCAACCGATACAAAGCACCCCCCCCCCCCCCCCCGCACACACTTAAGCACGACATTGCCCTCAATGGAGTAGAGGGAGAGATAAGGGGAACGATGTTACCGGATTGAAACACTGCTGCGGGACTGGAAGTGGACCAGTCAGCGAGAAACAAACGGGAAGATGGACAGTTCTGCACGAATCGAACACCAAGAACACACTAGCACACTGTGCGTTAGGGATAAGTGTTAACCCAGATGGGTACAACATAAACAAACCACAAAAGAGGAAAAAAAAAACAAAAACAAACGACACTAAGTTCAAGCTCCTCACACATGGAGCAGACACACAAAAGTCTAAAACGAAAAGCAAAACACACTGAGATGGGCAACGAGTACAGCCTACTCGTCGCCAAGATCATCCAAATCGATGTCGTTCATGAAGGCGTCATCACAATCAGCGCCATCGGCACCATCATCATCGTCGGCTGGGGGATGTGGAAGTGGAGAGTCATCCCAGGGAGTCCTCCAGACGGGCTGCTCGCCCGGGAGCAGCTGGAGCAGGTGCTGCTGGACCTCCTGCATGCGCCGTGAACGGCGCTTCTCCCGCTCGATGTGTGCGAGAGTCACTCCCTGCTGTGTCTGGAGTATGTCCAGGCGCTCATCATAAGCAGCCATCCTGTTCTGGTACGCGGCCTGGTGTTCCGCGTACTGCTGCTGGAACTGCATCTGCTGGTCGAGGATCTGCTGGTTCTGGATCCGCAGCTGCTCGAACTGGTAGGAGAAGTAATCATGACCCGGGAAAGCGGAGCTGCTACTCCCGTAGTGGAAGTGAGTCTGTGGTGGATCAGCAGCAGCGTCCACATCCTCTGGGTGGATATCCTCACCTGCCTCACCCTCTGGAACCTCCGGCTGGACCTCCTCCGGGATCTGAGGTTGTGGAAACCCCTCGATCCACTTCACCCCGCGCTCCTCTCGAAGCAGGAGCATCTTCTTGACTGTAAACTCGCCAAAGGTACTGGTGTCGCCCTGCTCTGTGCACCCATGCAGGGAGATCTCGAAGTAGGATGCCAGGCGGGTGATGAGGGGGGTGCAGTGGAGTTTCTTCAGCTCGGAAGCACTCTTGTCGAAGGTCCTCGCCACCACCGAGCCCAAGTAGAGAGGATGATCCCGCTGGCGCATAGACTGAATGAAGTACAGGGCTCGCTTGGTGATGGCGCTGGCACTGTCCGATGCCGGAGTGTAAGACTTGGCCAGCATGTGGTGGAGGATGCGGTTGTCGATCTGCAATGTACTGGCCTTCGTCTTCCCCGCCGAGAAGGGACGCTGGCCTGGCCGAGCGAGGCGGGTGTATAGCGTCTGGAAGTTCACCCCCTCTGGCTCGTGAAGCTCGGTGATGTAGTCCCTGTCATCGACAAGGCCGAGGCCGAGGGCGGTCACCAGCTCCTGGTAGCTCATGGATCGGGGTTCACCGCCGAGCCTGAACTGGATGGCTGCCCCGTCCTTGCAATCGTCCGTGTCTGCATGCCTGAAGGTCGTGTAGAACTCCAGTACGAGCTCATGGTAGACCTTCTCTCGAACCTGGAGGAGGCGGCGCCAGGGGCGGTTGACGACTGTGGCGGAGAAGTGCTCGTAGCAGTTCAGCTTCTCCAACTAGCGCTTTGACCAGCAATGATGCTGCCCAAATTTGTAGGCCAGGACGCTCTTAAAACGATCCTGGTGGGGCCCCCTTTTCAAATCTTGAATAAATGGGTGCTCGAGATTGGGCTTCGACATCGTCCTGCAAAAGAACAACCCAAAGTGGAACCAAGAGAGCCAAGAAAAATGTTAATCACACCCCCACACTTAAGAACAGAAAACAGCCTAACCATGGTTTCATCCATGGTTCGGGGGTCAAAAACTCGATAAAGCAAGCTTAATCTGAGTGGGGGTGCACATCCATGAGCAAGTAGGCAACTCAAGGTTCACATTCATAACAAATACACCCTCAAAGCACATCATTAAGGGTCCCAACCGACTCCAACAAAATGGTACGAAAACAGGCATTTCATCGAACACCTTGTGTGCACTATTAAGTTAAGCATGAAATTAGCACATTCATAGCACACAAGGCCTCAAATCAACATTGTAAATATGCCCTAACATCAATCACACATAATCCAAGCATTCCCCACATTCAATTTCATTCAATTCACTCATTTCAAATGGATTCTCTAAACATACACCCTAATATCCAATTCTCCTCAAATCATAAGGTAAATGGCGAAATCAAACCTGGAGACTCAAGTAGGATTGTAGGGAATGATGAGATGAATGAAATGCACTTGACGAAAGTGCGAAAATCTGCCCGGAAGTGGTCGTCGGAGTCTCGCCGGAAATCACCTCCGCGACAAAAACGTCGGCTAAATCTCCTGAAAATGGAGGGATAGGCCGCGTTTGGTGTGGGAAGGATGGGTTTGTTGTTGGTTTGGTGAAAAAATGACAAAAAATGGCCGGAAAAATCAAAATAGGGTGGTTTGTCGCGGTTTTCCGGCCAGATTCAGAGGATTCCGGCGAGGGTTGTGAAAAATTCTGACCACTCGGCCGTGCGGGCCGAATATATAGGCCGTGGCTCGGCCGCACGGGGAGGCTCGCACGGCCGTGCAGGGTGCACTTGTGCCCGTGTTGGCCGACACGGCCAGGCCGAGGAATTCCACACGGCCGTGCGAATTGCACATTTGGCCGTGTGGATTATGCCGAGAGCTCGCACGGCCAGGGGATAAAATCCACACGGCCGTGCGAGAATTTGTGATGCCCGTGTCGGTCACACGGCCAGGCCAGGCCAAGCCACACGGCCGTGCAAATTTGCACTTTTGGCCGTGCGAAAATTGCCGAGAGCTCGCACGGCCAGGGGGATAAAATCCACACGGCCGTGCAAGTTTATGGCCTGGCCGTGTGAGGTGCTCGAGCCCCGAATTCAACCTGTTTTCACTCAAAGACGACATTTGACTCTGGATCAACATCTCAAGACTCAAAAAACACAAAAAACCAAAGGAAAAAAGTAAGAAAATGCAAACCTCGGTGGGGTTGCCTCCCCACCAGCGCTTCTTTACCGTCTTTTAGCTGGACGCCAGTATGGATGCTGAGAGAAGTGTAGGATCAGGTGCCTTCAAGAGCGGATCCACATCGCTCTTGAGGTACAGCTTCAAATGGTGGCCATGCACGCGACGAATGTGGCCACCAGCATTTGCCAACTCGACTTGGCCATCCGGCAAGATGCAAGCGAGTGAATACTCGGATGGCCATGGTGGGGGCGGGATCAGCTCGTAGTGGTCTCCGGCTTTCTTTCGAGCAGGCTTAGCTGCCTGTAGTTTCGTCCGCCACTCCTCCTTGATCTATTCTTTTGGGGGCGGTGTGGACTGGAGTGGCGGCGAAGGTATGGGAGGCGGATGCTGCCAAATAGGCAACACAGAAGGATACACGACAGACTCGTGCTCCTGGTGAGATACAGCATGCAGAGGTAACGAAGCAGGTAGAGTGTTAGCAACTGAAAATGTTATTCGCTCCTCGCCATCCCTCAAAACTAAGGTCCTATCATGCACATCTATGAGAGCCTTGGCGGTGGCCAGGAAAGGCCTTCCCAGTATAAGGGGCACTTCTGTGTCCTCATTGATGTCCAGGACAACAAAATCCACAGGATATTTGAATTTGCCAACCTTAACCAGAAGGTCTTCCACTATGCCCCTAGGATGCACTACAGATCGGTCAGCTAATTGAAGGGTCATCCTAGTAGCACGGGGTTCACCTAGGCCTAGTTTCTTGAACAATTTATACGGCATAACATTGATACTAGCACCTAAATCCGCCAAGGACCTCTCTACATGCAATTTATCAATAGAGCACGGGATAGTAAAACTACCTGGGTCCTTCTGCTTCTGCGGGAGCTTGTTCTGCAGAATAGCCGAGCACTCCTCGCTGAGCTCCACAGTGGCCAGCTCACTCAGCTTCTGCTTCTTCGAGAGAAGCTATTTCAGAAACTTCGCATACTTAGGCATTTGAGATAGTGCCTCCAGGAAGGGCACTTGGACATTCAACTTCCTAAGCATGGCCATGAAGTTTTCGAACTCTGCCTCCAGCCTGTCTCTGTGCAACCGAGTAGGGAAGGGGAGTTTCGGGATATACTCCTTTACTACTAGTTGCGGCTTAGGTGCAGGCACCTCAACCTCCTTTTCTGCCTCTTCTTCAACCGCTGGAGACGCTAAGACAGGGGTCTCTCTCTCTTGTTCCCGAGCAGGTGGATCAACAGTCACCTTGCCACTCCTGGTCATGATGGCATTGCAGTGCTCATTCGGGGTCTGCGGATGAGGGATGGTCTGCCCGGGTAGAGTACCAGGAGCCCTTAGTGCCACTGCCTGAGCTACGCTCCCCAGCTGGGTTTGGATATCCTGCAAGACAGCCTGTGTGTTCCTCTGGCCAGCTTCAAGAGCCAGGAATTTACCCGAGGCCTTTTCCATGAACTGCTCAATAGTGTTGAATTTCTGAGCACTAGAACTGGCGAGAGAACCCACCTAGTCCCACAATTCAGCCATCTGATCATTCTGCACTGGGGCAGCAGGGGCCACACCTGGCTGCTGGAAAGGTCGCGGCTGTGATTGAGCAGCATGCCCCTGCATGGGCTGATAGAGAGACTGTTGCTGCTGTTGGAATTGCCCCTGTCTAGGCTGATATGGCGGCCTTTTGAAGCCTGGCGGTCCCTGGGGGACTGGTGGTCTGGAATTTGCCCCACCCCAGGAGAAGTTAGGATGCTGGCGCCACCCCTCGTTGTAAGTGTTACTGTAGGGGTCATTGCGCCTGACATTATTGATGAAGTTCACCTACTCCTGGGGTGTGGTTGATTCCTTCATCGCCTGGCAGTCTTCCACCGTGTGATGGGTGCTCTCGCACCAATGGCAGAGCATCGCCTGCTGCTGTCCGGTCCCTGGAATCATCTTGGAACGATCGATAGCTGAAACCAGCTTCGATACTACCTGCACCAAATCAGAGGGATGGGCTCCCACAGAATGTACACCTCGGCTTGGTGCTCTCCTCGACTTCCTAGCAGTGCCCCAATCATACCCGTTCTCTGCCATCTCCTCAAAGAGTTGATTCAGCTGTGGCGGTGTTTCGGTCAGCATGTTCCCGCCACAAACCGAGTCAATCAGCTGCTTGTCTTCTGGGAAGAGGGCGTGATAGAAGGTGCCCACCTTGAAAGCATCATTCAAGCCATGATTTGGCCACCTTAGGAAGAGACTGTTGTACCTCTCCCATGCATCCCTGATGGTCTCATCCTCATCCTGAGCAAAATGTGTAATTTGCTTCTGCAGGTCAGCTGTCTTGGATGGAGGATGGTAGCGGGTGAGGAACTTGTCCGCCAGGTGGGCGAACGTGGTGATAGAGCCCGGAGGTCGAGTGTCTAGCCACTCCTTGGCTTGCCCCTCCAGAGTAAATGGGAAGTACCTCAGCTGGATGGCATCTGCTGGTACCCCATTGATCTTGATTCCATCGATGAGCTCGTGGAATCGCCTGAGATGTGATCGGGGGCACTCTCCCTCCTTACCACGGAACACCACTGAACCGCGCAGCATGGTGATTACTGAGGTGCTCACCTCAAAATTGTTGGCTGGGACCTGAGGGTGTTGAATGGGTGACCTCATGTCCGCAGCTCTAGCGGTCCAGTAGGATCCCATGGTCTGCTCATCTGGTTTGATCACATCATGGTTCTGTGGATCAGCCATCTCTCCTTCTTCTTCTTCTTCTTCTTCTTCGATCTGCAGCTGTGATAGCGCCTCCTCTTCATCCAGTCGCACCTTTAGAGCCCGCTTGAAGTTCCTGCAGGTTCGTTCAAGCTCCTGGTCTAATGGTAGTAGATCTCCCGACTGGCTACGGGTCATGCACTACCTGCA